TTTAATTTATTGTATCAACCTTTAATATGATGAAAACATACACTATGTTTATATAATGCTGCAACTATTATTCTTTTTGAACTTAAAACTTGTTATCGATAGCTGTAAAATGGCTTCTTCGGTTTGATTGAAATTAATTATTTTTGGTATATTTAATTGGCTGCATATGGTCAACTTTCCCAGATATGGTATTTGAGTACCCTAAGCAACCTTAAAATGATATAGAATTGTGTTAACACTGATCACCTGAAGCAGATACTGTATTTAGTTATCTTTGGTCACTTTCTGTTGTTATTGGAATTCTCTTGACAGTTGACACCTTTTGCAGATTTCGGATTTTGTTATTCACTGGTCATTAAATTTTACAAAAATTGGTCATATGTAGTCTTAGATGTATGATCGTTTGAATTATTTTACATTTCTTATTTCCGGGCCTTTAATAACTGACTATGCGGTATGGACGTTGCTCATTGTTGAAGGCCGTACAGTGACTTATACTTGTTAATTTCTGTGTCATTTGGTTTGTTGTGAACAGTTGTCTCATTGGCAATAATACCACAGTTTCTTTTTTAAATGTTGAGTTTTTTTTATCATTTGTAGAAAATGTGAGAAATTTGAAGAGGGTGAAAAAAGAAGAACAGGTTTGTATATATCATTGGTTCAAAATATAGAATACTATAACATTATATTTACTATCTAAGTAACACTGAACAGAAAAAATGTACATTATCTTCCATGATCATTTAGAAATAAATCTTAAAAATAATTGAATTTGCTTGCGTTGTCAAGAGCCGATAATGAAGTCATTTTATACGTATCTTCATTAGATCCTTTGGATAAATCAGTTGATTTCCTATACGATTATTTAATATTTAACTTCTTTTTTCAGAAGTCAACAGAAAATGAAGATGAAAGTGGTTTGTATTTATTTTATCATTTTTTTAGTATGATGGATAGGTTCATTACGTCTATATGATACTGAAACTAAATTTCTATTTAAACTTACAACTTGTTATCGATAGCTTTAAAATCGCTACTTAGGTTTGATTGAAAAATTTCTTTTTCTCTTTGGATTAACTTAGAAAAATATTTAATTAGCTATAAGTGATAAATTTTATCATATATGGTATCAGATTATCTCTAGTGATCTTAACATGATATGGAATCGGATTACCATTGGTCATCTAATGCAGATACTAGATTTAGTAACCTCTTGTCACCTTATGCAGATATTGGATTTGGGGACCTCTGGTCACCTTATGCAGATATTGGATTTTAGGACCTCTGGTCACTTTATGCAAATATTGGATTTGGGGACCTCTGGTCACCTTATGAAGATATTAGATTTGGATAAATCTGGTCACCTCATGCAGATATTGGATTTTGGGACCTCTGTTCACCTTATGCAGATATTGGATTAGAGTTCCTGGTCACCTTATGCAGATATTGGATTTGAGGACCTCTGGTCTTCTTATGCAGATTTCCGATTTGGGGACCTCTGGTGACTCTATGAAGAAATTTGATTTGTTATATATCTGTTCACCTTATGCAGATATATGATTTGGGGACCTTTGGTCACCTTATGCAGATATTGGATTTGGGAACCTCTGGTCACCTTATGCAGATATTGGATTTGAGGACCTCTGGTCACCTTATGCAGATTTCAGATTTAATTAACTCTGGTCATCAAAACATAAGTCATGTTATTTTTTGTTATTATTTGTAGGAAATGTAAGACAATCGAAGAGAAGGAAAAAAGAACAAGAACAGGTTTGATATGCATTACTGGTTCAGCAAGACTATAGAATTGTATTGCATATTACATTTAAAATATTAATGATCTCAACAGAATGAACATTGTCTATCCTGATCTTTTAAAAAACAAATCTTAGAAAATGCTTGAACTTGCAAACGTTGACAAGAGCATTTAAAGTTGATTATTAAGTCAATGTATACTTACCCTCATTATATTATTTTGGATAAATCAATTGATTTCCTAATGTAATCATTATATATTTTATCTTCTTTTTCAGTCACTAGAAAATGTAGATAAAAGAGGTATGTATGCATTAAATTTGTTAAATATAATTCTTATTTATGATGGATAAGCGCCTTGTGTCTATATAATACTGCAACTATTATTCTATTGAAACTTTAAACTTGTTACGAATTTTGTGAAATGGCATTTAAGGTTTAATTAAAAAAAACATTTTTCTTTTGGGATAACCTTATAAAAATTTAAATTGGCTACATGTTGTCAACTTTACAAGATATGGTATATGGTAACCTCTGGTCATCTGAACAACATATAGAATTTGGTTACCTCTGGTCACCTTACGACGATATTGAATGTGTTTACTTGCCTCTGGTCACCTTACGACGATATTGGATTTGTTTACCTCCGTTCATTTCATGCATATATTGGAAATCTCTGGCCACCCTATGTATTATTCGAATTTGGTTATTTCTTGTCATCAATATTTACCTACAACTGGTCATGTTGTGTTTTTTTTATCATTTTAGAACATGCTAGAAAATCAAAGAGAGGGAAAAAAGAAGAAAAACAGGTTTGATATACATCATGGGTTCAACAAGAATATAGAAAAGTATTATATATTACTTTTAATATTTTATTACAATTAACAGAATGAACTTTGTCTACCATGATCATCTATAAAACAAACGTTAGAGAATGATTTAATTTGCAAACGTTGCCAAGAGCATGTTCAGTTGATAATTGATACTTATCCTCTGTAGATATTTTTGATAAATCAATTGATTTCCTTATACGATTATTGTATTTGTTATCTTTTTTTTCAGAAGTCACTAGAAAATGTAGATGAAAGAGGTATGTACGCATTTAATTTGTGATATATAATCATTATATATGATGCATAAGTACATGAAGTTTTTATAATACTGAAATTATCATTCTATTCTAACACAAAACTGGTTATCATTTTTTGTTAAAACGGCTACTTAGGTTTGATTGAAAAGTAAATTCAATATTCTTTTAGAATTTCCTTACAAAATTCTTAAGTTTGGATACATGTGGTCATCTTCCCAAGATATGGTATCTGGTAATTACTGGTCACTTTTAAAAGATATAATAGGGTTTTGTTACTGTTGGTCACCTGATTTAAATATAAGTTTTGGTTACCTAAGTTTATGCAGATATTGCAATTATCTGGTCATCTTCTGCATATTTCGGATTTGGCTTCCTCTGGTCACCTTATGCAGATAATTGATTTGGTTACATCTGGTCATCTTATTCATACATGGGATTTGGTTACCTCTGGTCACCTTCTGTAGATTTCAGATTTTGTCACCTCTGATCACCTTATGTTGATATGAAATATGGTAACCTCTGGACACACTTACGCAAATAAAATTTGTTTTATTTAGTCTTTTATAACAGAAAATGAAACAATTAATGTTAATATAAATTGCAAAAAAATATCAACATTTACATTTGAATGGTTCATGGTTTTATTTCTTTTCATTAGTAGATAATGTTAGACAACCGAAGATCCAGAAAAAAGATGAAGATCAGGTTAGATATACATTCTTGGTTCAGGGAGAATATGTTATATTGTTATATTAATTTCAATATATTAATAACCATTAAAAAATGTACATTGTCTTTCAGAGTCGTCTAAAAAACAAATCTTAGAAAACAATTAAAATTTCTTACTTTGTCAAGAGGATTTTTACAATTGATTATGTAGACAATTTATACTTATCATTATTAGATAATTTTTGATAAATCAATTGATTTCCTAATACAATCATTATAATTTTTATCTTCTATTTTTAGAAGTCAACAGAAAATGTAGATGAGAGTGGTATGTATGCATTTAATCATGATGGATAAGTTCATTAAGTTTTATGATACTGAAACTATCATTCTTTTTGAACTTAAAACTTGTTATTGATATTTGTAAAAATGCTACTTAGGTTTGATTGAAAAGTAATTTCATTTTCCTGTTGAGATTATTTTACAAAAATATTGAATTGGTTACATGTGGTCAACTTAACAAGATATTGCCAATTTCATCAAAATTGAATGGGCAAGATGTGGCGCCATAGTTAAATTTATGAACATTGAAAAAGGTGACAAAAAAGTAGGGAAATTGACCAAAATGAATTATTTTCCTATTTTAGAATGATATATTTTTAAATATGAAGCATATAATAGTTTTTGTTATACTTTATATAAAGAAAACAATTGAAGTTTTTAATATACTTCTTCACAGGGCAGGCTTTGGAGTTGACTGGCTCAACCCCCAACCTAATTTTATTTAGGAGATATTGGGGTAGAAAAATGTCACTTTGTTTCTAAAAATGGTATCATAATGATCAAGACATTGATATTATGTAGTTATTTTGTACACAAAATCAATGCAACCACCAGGAATTAATTACCGAAGATAACTAGGATTACATTTTATGATTAAAGTAATTGTGTTTTGATTGATTTCTTATCAATTATCCTGAATAATACTCTTATCTCAACATGTACAAGTGAGACGACGGATTGGAATGAGATTACTTCTTTTGAGGAGTTTAGGATTGCAAGTATGTACATTATATTTTTTTGATCATTTGCATACCATGATCACCAACAATCTATATTTCACCTCAACAATCATTATATTTAGCACTTCATGGATTTGGGTATGAATCATTACTTGTTTTATTATTGTCTTTCCAATTACTTTTTATGAATAACAAAGCTAAATGTCCTGTGTGATGACTGTACCTTCACATTTTCAGGAATGGCTTTTATCTGTTTAGTAACAACCTATACATATACTAGTTTGATATTTACTTGGTAATTTTATACATTTAGAAGCTCCCTGTATCATTTATTTTTACATTGTGCCTTAAATAATTCAAGTCATTGATTTCTTTTAATAGGCTAACAAAAACACAATTTTAAGTTTCTCATTAATCTTATCATAAGGGTTCATGATTATTTTCCAATTTATTTTAAAAAGACATTAGACCTGTGAGAAGTAGACTACAGTCAATGAAAACAAACAAAACGGAGAAAAGAATGATTTATATGGTGAAGGGAGATGAAATCACGGCCAGAGTCCAGGGACCAGACAGAATGTCAGTTCACCAGATAGGTGATTACTTGACAATAGGGAAATCAAATACTACTCAACAAAATCAAAAGGAACTTTCAAGACTAGTCAATTTGATTCCAAAACCAACAAACATAGTGCCACCAATCACATCAGCCTGGTCCATGTTAACAAACGGTAAGACTTTAGTGAATACACTTGATTCTCAAAGAAAACAGTTTATGCTGGTTAAAACACATAAATTGATGATCTCGTGTTTTTTTAAGCATTGATTGATTAGAAGGTAAGGAATGGTGAATGGGTCGAAAGGAACAATCAAACTGAAATTTGGAGAACAAACTGACAAAGCTGAGCAAAAAAATTTAAAAAAATGATGGAAAGTCAAAAATGCAATCATTATAATTCAATATAGAAAAAATAAAACTGAGCAACATAAACCCCATAAAAAACTAGGGTGGTCTCAGGTTATCTATATTGGTTAGCAGATCCAGCTTATTATGTGGTGCCCATAATATTGTTCATGCTTGAGTTTATGATCCCTTGGTATATAACTGTATCTTTTTAAATCATATGTCTACTGTGAATCATATACATGTCGCTTTGCCAATCTGTAAGACATTTTTTTAAGTTGTAAGAACTTTCATAACGGTGCTTAATATGTCTTATTACATATATTTATCAGCTTAACTGCAAGAAAAGATCACAACTGTATTTCACTTCATTTTCAGGTGATGTTGACTATCAAGTTCAATCTTTAAACACTTTGACCGAGGCTCTTGTTGACAAAGAAGCAACCAAAAAGGCTGTATGCAAAAAAATGAAAGGGACATCTGCCCAAAAAAAGGGTGACATTGAAAAAACTAAGTAAGTGTTTGAGGAGAATTCAATTGTTCAGATTTTATGAACATTGGATTTATAATGGCTACAAAGGCAATCGTCTTCTTGACATCTTTATTACATACTAAGAGTATGGAATAAAATACACAATAGAAAATGCAAACATCTAGATTAACATGAAATATATAAAACATACATTTTCCAAATACCATGATCATTATGTATTTATCTTCTCAACAATCAATTATAAACTGAGTTCTCATCTATTCAATTGATTGCTTATCTGTTTCAATAATTATTCTAGACTAAATTTGTGACAAAATTCAGATCATAAATTCATAATCAAGTCTATAATGCAATCTATCTTTTTACACTCGAGGTCTATATATAGAAAATGAACAATTGTGTTAAAAGCGAATGGAAATGTGTAGTTATCATTTTAATATACAGTCAAACACAAACATACTACCAGCTGTTTAAAAACAGATTTCGTTTTAATATAACTTTATGGACACAGGGATTATGTCAAAGAAACAACAACCCGACCAAAACGTAAAAAACAACTCAAGGTTTCACATTTCTCTGTGTACTAAATAATAAACTTTTCAAAGCAAAATGACATGGAATCAATCATTTTAAAATTAATAGCATCGTTAGAATACTAACTATAAAATCATATACAATCTACTTCTTACTGGTCATAAACTTGAAACAATCCACACTACATGTTTATCAGAAAGCTAGGTAGAACAATTGACTTATAATTATTGATGTACAAATTACTATTTAATTTGGCCTTACAATTCGACTTGGTCCTTTGTTTTATTATTGATATGTATAACATTGCTATTCTCATTTATTTTCCAACGGTTTAACATGCTCTATTTTGTTGTAGCTAGGAAACATTTGAAATTATTGAATACAATTTTTGTTAGTAATGACATAAATTAAGCATTATAGTATTAACATATTAAAACATTTAAAAAAAAATATTTAAGTCAATAAAATAAAATGCATTCTTGTAAATTAAGTCTTTTATTTGCTTAGATTAAGTGATTCTTATTAAAACTAGAATAATTAAGATGGTGTCATTATATAAAATTGTGTAGGTAAAGAAATGTCCTATAATAATAAAATTGCTGTCTTAACTTATATTTGCAGAGAAATTGTTGGCCATGTTATAGCCGAACTAAATAAAACTAATGTAAACAAGGCAATGCATGGGAAAGTTTTTGAGGCCTTTTGGAAGACAATACAGACAATGCTGCCAGGTAATGATTTATTAGACACATGACACGTATTATCTTAACTTAAAACATATTTGATCATTTGCTTAAAAAATATAACCTACTTGAGACAACAAACAGACCTAGTCCAATGTAATAATTAGCCAAGTTATCTGCTTGACAAAATCATCATTAGGAATAGGTATTTGTTATATTAAATTATATCCATTTGTTCACATCAGTATCTTTGCAAAACATTTCAAGAGCAAACTGTATATGTCCTACTTTTAAAGCATTTAAGCACCTATGTAACATATACAATTTTTGAACGAATATCTAGAAAAGGCAGTTTTTCAAAATCAGTATAATATTTCATTATTTTTTTCATTGAAATGGTTTACGAATGGATCCTTTCTTTCTGTGCGTAGATTTGAAACTGCCATCATCATTAACTTTACGCCCCCGTTTTTTCAGAACACACTTTCGGCTTACTGAATAGTCATGATCAGTTTTTGGACTTTTGGATTTTCTGCTTGGAAACAGCGGTTGCTGCTTTCGCTTTCTTGTTGTTTTGGAAAAGTTGGTTGTCCTACAAATATGTAATGCCGTTGTGAGTGCTTGACAAATAGCTTTCTTTTTTTTCACGTCAATTGTCTGGAAATTTTTATTGTTTACATATAAATTGATTTCCTCAATTTTTCTTTTAATAGCCTGGTCGGTTGTTTCTTTGTCTTCAATTAATTGTTGTTTTGTTTCATCAATTGAGGTAGACTCTATGTCAGGTGATGGAACTACCAGTTTTGCTACCATCACACAAACACAATGTTTACCATGGCTATTGGCAAAACATGTACATTTGAAAGAGGTCAAATTAACAACTGATACATTTCCCAATCTTGACAAAACCTCTACCTGGTTGTTATCTCTGTCATAAAAATATTGTTCTGCATTAAATACATCCATTGCTTCTGATCTGCGCTCTACAGTAAGGTCGATGTTCCTTTTAGAAGCAATCAATTCAGCTAAATGAACATGCTCACACATTCCTGAAAAATAGTAGAGAATGGAACATAAATAACTTGTACCTTTATGGTTCACTTTCAATTGTACAAACTTTAAACAAAACCACTAATGAACGTTGAGTAAAGATTTACTTAAATTGGATCGCATTGTTTTAGAAAATTTGATGAGGAAAATGATTATTTGCACTTGTATAACCTGATGACGGTTGATAATGCCTTGTTGGAAGACAAAAACAATCAAAACCGAGGAGACTCGTAAAACCATAAGACATTTACAACAACAGTAAAAAACAATAATCAACAACACGAATTCCACTGAATACCTGAAGTGAAATTAGGTGCTTTAGAAGGATAAGCATTTCCGGGAACCATATACGGTACCCGAAATTAATAATCTTGATTTCAACAATTCATACTTGATGGTGTACTTTTAAACATTGTTGGACTGACTTAAGATGCTAAAAAAATACCTCTTGTTGTTGCTGCTGGACAATTGCACACTTCATTGACAATGTCCACATTATAAATCGTCCCAAATGCTGTCTGTGATGGAACAGTGCATTCTGTGGATGAAGTCCATTGCACAATTTGGTCGAGTCCTGCCTTGAGCATATTCTCTGCTGTCAATTTACTTTTGTCTCCCCTTTGTCCTCCCATATTTTTCAGGCGACCAATCTTTGCGAGTTCATCCAGATAGCTAAAATTACGATGTTTTTTTTAATTTATTTTTGGTTATGAAAACATAATTCAAAGATCTAATAATAAATTATTTCTTAAAAAATTGAATTCACAGTATTTAATATTCAATGTATTTGCATCTTAAATTAAAATGATCTTTCTAATTTCAGACGATTCAAGTGAACGATAAGAAGAACAGGATTGTGACAAATTTAAACTTACTTACTCATAAAACATAGTTACATTTCCATGGAGAAGGAGTAGTAAGTCCTCTACTCTGCTATTGGCATACCCACCAAGGAAATGGTATTTCATGCCCAGGAAAAACCTGAAAATGACAAAATGTTAAGGACTTTGAATTTATGATTTATATTTGAATGTACAAATAGAAAGTACATAAAATATTAATGTGTTAACATTTGAATGTTATAAGTAGCATTATATTTTTTTGTTTTAATATCCTCATACACATCAGGTTTTGCTAGACTACATTTTTTCATTTTGTCTGCTTTTATGTAATTATCGACTTGCATTGACAATTATGATATTTGTATTAAATTTGCATAACCCTATCATGAAAGAACGGCAAAAATCCTCTCCATATAGTTAAAAATTGTAAAGTTTATATCATGCTATGTCTTTGGTTACCCATGAAGAAGTAGGATTTAGACAAAGTGTAATACTTTTTATAAATCAGGTCATAAAAACAGAGACAGTTCAGAAAATTTATCCCCAAAATAAAATATACTTAGTTACTATTATCAAACAGATGATAATTAGATGATGCTTAAAATTTCGATCTTGTAAAATATAAGGTGTATAGTAATAAAATGTATTAATAACCTTTCAACTAAGTTATTTGTATCTTGATCTTCATGAAAAAAATGTCTTCCATAGTTGGCCCATCGACATCCCCACTTGTCAGTACACCAGTTGTCTAACAAGTAGTCTGCTATTTGTTTGGAAGGCATCTTCTCTTGCAACATTTTAACTTTTTGAGAAAAGTCTTCTTTCTGATGAAAAATTATATTGACACATTTCTTTTGAGTATAAAATCAGATTTTATAGATTAAACACGCGTGTACTCATAAGCATTGTATATTTATAGGTAAGATCTTTAAATCGCATTAAGCAACTATTTGTACTTTCTAAATTATTTTACTGCTTTAATTCAATAGAGATTCATTTCTATATGTTTCAGTGGTTTTTTTTTCATCTTTTATCAACCAAAATTCATTGATTGTATTTTTTATTATTATTATTATTGCGTTTTAATTGACTCTATTTGAAAAATCTTGTTGATATGATTTTGATATTAAAACAATTACAATGTTGGAAAAGGAGAAAAAGATCCCACTGAGGTTTCATTTCTACAGGGATTTTTCTTATAATATAAACATATCAATAACCAATCGTGTTTCATTGTGAGGCAACACACTCGTGATTAATTTTTTTAACAATGTTTCACATCCTCTGCATATAAAACTGTTATTATCAGAAGCAGGTCAAGTTATACTATGTAAATTAACATTCACCTAGTACATATTAAATATTCGAATACATTATTTGAATTTGTCAGGACCAACTCAAAATTATTGACCAATTTAAAAATTATTATATTTCACTGTGGTATCATAGGTTCATTATATTTTATTTGTCTTAACTATCACGTTTGATTACCTTGGTACATATTTTCATAGTTCTAATATAGTCAATAACTTTTTTTCTGGTATGTGCGTGCATGGGTCCTGATACACCAGATTCTTTTTTATTCAAAAATCTGTACACAGCCTGTAAATCAAATCATTTATATTTAGTTCATGTCTTAAAGATTCTTGATAATAATAATTAAACATTGTCTTGAATATATCATGACTAATTATTTTTCAACAAGATAATATTTGATCTATGAAAGTATTAATGCGAAAGAGTCTATTTATTAATTCAAAACTGACCTCAAGCTTATAAACACAAAAAAAAGATATAAAATGTTAAATCCAATGCAATTAATACTTATTGATCCAAAAGAGTGAAACTTCACAGAATAACTCTCATTTAATAACTGATTTTTTTCCCATAAAGAATAAGGTAAAATGTATGATACATATATTGAATAATATAATACCTGTAAAACATGAAACCAGCAAAGTAAAACAGAGCTGTTTGGGAATACTTCATTAATTGCGCTGATTTCTTTGGTATCTCTGTCTACCATAAAAGATCTAGTAAACAAAATGTAACACTGCAGTATCAACAATCTATATCTTTATCTCATATTGGTTTTATTCTATAATACTATTTGTTAATTTGTAAATAATTATGTAAATTCTTTTTTTTTTATATCAATTAGATTTTTAATTTGTGATTAAAAAGTTTGGAAACAAGCCTAAAAAAGCTTTAATTATTATGTTATGTATAAACCTGACTATGCTTTAATCTTAAATGCTTTGGTTTTAAAGCCTTGCTATAGATCACACTCAAAAGATTTTAAGGAAATTGATGTTTTTGTAAGTTTCATTAGTCCATTAGAAAAATATTATTATGCAAAAATTATTTATCTAATATTCTTTGCCAAAATTCAACTGAAATTATTGTGGACCTTAATTGTATTAATTTTGATATGCATGAAAAAATGTTTCTTTAGATGAATCTTTCATAGCATTGTCTATTTGTCATTTCAAATAACTATCACTGCACGAATATGTGAATAATGTCATAGTTTAACCTGTAATTTTTACAGCCAAATTAATTAAAACATATAATTGAATGGTATTTATTTATCTTTTATATCCATATCAGATTTGATGTTGACTCCGAATAATGTTACTAATTGTAAACAAATAATAAGACGAAAATGAAAAGTGTTAATAAGCAATGATATTGAATTCGAAATATTGTCAACTTTGATACCCACAAACCTTGGACGGAAATCAAATCCATGATTTTCAGCCGTAGTCTTCAGAGATCTCAGAAATATTTTGACAACTTCACCAGTATCATCTGACGAGATACAGTACGAAAGAGGAGTGCCTCGGCCTTGCTGTTCATCTCTTGCAACAAGAGCATAGAATGAATAACCATAGGCAGTTAATCCTTAAAACAAACAAAAAACATGTTGTAAGTTTATTGTCACACAGTTCAATTCTTTTAAACGTATCAATATTTTAAATTGAAATTTCCATGATTATATACAAGTATATACCTTTATATGTAGCATCTAAAAACACAACATTTTCTGCTAGTTTCACCATTCTTTTTCTTTGTGCTTCATTCTGGTAAATAATTTTTAATGGCTGTACTCCCCTACAATGTAAATGTTACATATTTAATGACCAAAAGTATGAGTATGAATTATATATTTTATGTTGAAATCATGTCCATTTAATGGAAAAGAAGACGACAAACTAGCTACATTGTACTCATATTAAATAACCTCTATTAAAACTGAAAAAGACAAAAATGTAAAATATATTGACAAAATATATGACTTGTGAACAAGTGTAGCACTAAAAACACTCAAAAGGATAAAAACCAAAAATACAAATCATCTATTATGAGAAGTCAGATATACGTTCAGTCTACAGAAAACTCATCTGTACAGCTCTCATTGAAACATTTTACAGACAAAATCATATACGAAATTGGACAGACGAGACTATAAAAACTATTTGAACATAAGGCAATCCAGTCATGTCTGAAGAACAAAACAGGGTATCAATCAGTAATTTCAGAATTACTCTTTATCAGCATTATGCTTATATCAGTTATTAAAATTTACAAAAGTACATTATTATATAAGAATAATTACTCTTTCAATTCTTGGTAGAAAATTATCTCTTCCTTCAGTATTTGTTTGCATAGCTCGTGTACAGCTACAGCATCATTCTGGTGAATTCTAAAACAAATGAGGAAATATCATAGATCAATACCAGTACTGACATATACAAAATCAATGTCAACAGTACATCTGTATAATTTGACCAGAAAACACCAAAGTTAATTTACTGTGTAAAGTGCATGTTTACAATCAGATTGGTAAAAAGATTAAAATGGTGAATAAAGTAATGATTTTAACAGACGAACCATTGGGTTTGCAAACAGTGCATCAGTTTAAAGAACCACAAACCAAAGGCTGTATCTATAAATGTGATGGAGGTAACCAACGTCATTTCCAGTGTAAGGTACTAAATACCAAATGCTCTTTAAATTTCACTTTACTAAAGTATGTAGATGTAAGAAGACGGAACCAAGGATATACTTTGTGTAAAGCTATCATTTTTTTTTAAATTGTCCAGATGTGACCAAAGTTGCGGTGAACAGTGGTAACCAAAGTCAATATATGTGTACGGTTTCAAAAGGGATATAGATTATATACATATCTAAAATAGACATAGGAAACACAAGTATGATTAAGGTAGCCCTAGTCAATACCTGTGTATCATTATATATATGTTTCAGGTGACCAAAGTTAACAAAATGGTGAAAAGTGATTATCAAATTCTACAAACATTTAAGGGTACAAGTGGCGACCCAGGTCCATATATGTGTTCATTAACCAGAGGTTACCAAAGTCTGTATATGTTAAGTGTTATCAGAGGTAGCAAAGTCTTTGTCAATATTAAGATTTGGTTCAAGTTATCAGAGGTAACTGAAGTCCGGATAATGTGTTATTTTTCGATGACTGGATACGTAGAGACAAATATAAAAAAGAAGATGTGGTTCGATGACTGGATACGTAGAGACAAATATAAAAAAGAAGATATGGTATGATTACCAATGAGACAACTATCCACAAAAGACCAAAAATGACACAAACATTAACAACTATAGGTCACCATACGGCATTCAACAATGAGCCTGTTTCTTTGGATTTTTTAGAAGAACAAAGTAGTAAGTACATATTTTAAGTAAATCTTTTGATTATGTTTTGATACCTTTTATCCATTTTGTAACGTTGACATATATTCTTAATGTCAACTGGTGTCAGATAGTATCTTCTATCGTGCACATCAAAATGCCCTTGATCTCTAGCCCATTTTCATGCTTTGCACAATATTTCCATGGGTTTTTTCCCCTATTGATAATGAAATAAAATTAAATTCGTGTCAATTACAATTAATTTCAAATTTAGTTAAAATCTTTTTGAGCTTAAGGATTTTTTCAAATCAACACAAAATATGTCGTTGTATCAATACATGTCATTGTAAAAATATATGTCTTCTAGAATATTTTATCATCAATGCTATTCAGCTTTAAACTGGTTTTTTCATTAAAATATTTCATACAAGCGTCCGATATTTATATAAATGCATTAAATGACTCTCTGGCAAGCCAATTTTATCCTAATCATTTTATTTTTGATTTATTTCAACCTATTCATTCATTATAATCTTTGCAAATCATGAAAAAATGCGCCGGAAGACAAACACAGACATCGAAAAGAACAGAATGGTTGAGAAAATATTAAACTCCAATAATGTCAGCATACACAATTTTTATTATCATTGTGTTTATAAGAGTGCCAGCAACTTATAATTGAAAAATAAGTCAATTCGTTATGAGCAATAAATTATATATAATACCGACGACATGAATACCTGATCAAGTAAAGCATCTATATAAAGCAGTAAGCTGTGATCTGGGCGTGATTGGTGTTTTTCCTCTTTTATCTGTAAACTGTGTCCATTGTGTTTTAGTTGTTGCCGAATTATTACTGCTTTTTTACTCAAATGGGTCAAAAATCTGTGTAAGAAGATATTAACATGCCCTTTAATGATTTTTTTTTACATGTACAACGTCACTGGTTATTACTGTTTTGCCAAACGTATCATTATTATATTTATTACAACAGCTTGTAAGCAATATTTAAGATCTATCGGACTTGAAGAAAAGGATTATTTTTTCTAAAAATATGTGTAAGGCTACTTCGAATAACTGCTATGGTTGTTGTGTTCTCCTTGTAAATTGATAACTTATCATCAAAATGATATATACCAAATTCTATATAATTTGATACAGGGATTCTCTATATAATAATTTCAACCATGACAGGGTGTATTGACCCGCTCATCACATGAAATGTCAGGTAAACTAGCCAGAAACTCATGAATGGTGTATGCCCGGTGAATACCTGTTTAAATGTGTTTGGTTTAGTAATATGATAAATGCATTTAATTCCCACTCTCAAGACACGGACAAAAGGTTGCTTAACTACAACAAGGATGTTAGGATCAATAAATAATGATGTTCAAACGCTTAAAAGTTATAAATTAATTTATAGTTTTGCATTATAAAAGAAAAGTAAAAGAGATAAATGAATATTACATTAACATAACATACTGGAATGACACATATGCCTGACAATTATTTGCCCTGGTATTCAAAGGACCTGTTTTTTCCTCTTGGTTTATTACATCTAAAATAAACATGATAAAATTTAAACAAATATGCATCTTAACTTTATAGATAACCAAAGAGAAAAATGTTGTGCAATATTTCAGAAAATTCATAGTTCAATACGTTTAAAAGCTTTCGGAACTATCTGTTATTAAAGGCCATACTATAATTACTGAATAAACTATAAAACAAAACGTATATTATTGAAAAAAAGCAAGAGAATAACATACAACCAGAAGTCAAGATTATACAACTCATCTCTTTCAAAACTATACCAATATTATTTTCTGTCACAAATGTATCTTTTAACTCAGCATTGTCTTGCAAATTTGATATGCAAGATATGTAAATAGATTCTTTAAGAATGTTTACGATTGTTACTAAAGTTGTTCTCTTTTTCTATTTATTGTTTATTTGGAGAAAAACAAGAGTGGATTTATTTCAAGATAAAATTCCTTTATAGATTATCGACTTAGATGATTAAAGTTACCTTTCACACCTGTATTGCAATGTGGTTTTATTTGCTTTCCTGTGAATAAAATTCCCTGTGATTGTTATATCCATTAAATGCTTGGTTATGACGTCTTCGTTGTCCACTTCATTTCTGTTGAATGATAAGCAAAAACTGAAGCCAAAGTCACAAATGCTAGCTGATAAAACACAACAATATGTTTCAGTGTAATAGTATGACCAAAAATTCATCCATATATTCAGAAACATTGGAAAGAGTTACACCATAGTATAATAGACTTAAATTGTCCCCCAACAAATGTAGTTCTTAAAAATGATCCCTTTGTTAATACAGTGATTTTTATATTTTGTAAGACTATTTGAAGTTCAGTAAAATTATTCTGAATAACAAACAGAGTTATTTTTCAATAATCTGAAGGTATATGTTTTGCTGTGATAGATATTTATTTTCTTTTAATTCTATTGAAACCATTAGGTCATAGGAAGAAGGTAGCATATAGAAATTAGTTGATTTCAAAACTATATATTTTCGATTAAAATAAAATTTCCCATACCTTAAACGTCTAACAATGCAATCAGTACCATTTTTCCGTTTTTTGATGAAGGTGGATCTCACAAACTCTACGAATGGCATATCTAGGGTAAGAAAAGCATATGTATTGCTATGTAGTAACACTAGTTTACTTGTTATAAATTTAAAAACAAATGATGACATCGATGAAAAATACCAACAAACGACCTCTGCACAATAAAATTAACGGTACCAATTTTCTTGCACCAGATGCGCATTTCGACAATACATGTCTCTTCAGTGATGCTCGTTGCCAAATTATTTGAAATCCAAAGCTTATATAAAAGATGAAGAGCTATAATCCAAAAGGTCCAAAAAGTATAGCCAAATCCGTGAAAGAAATCAGAGCTTTGCATGAGGGAGATACATTCCTTAATTTATAATAATTTCTAATATTTTGTAACAGCAAATTTTAATAACACAAAAAAATAGTTGCATATGATATATTTGAACGTTTCAACAGGCGCAAACCTGCACATTACACGTAAAACAGCAGTAAAACATTAAAAGAAAAGACGCACTATAAAAGCAAATAATTGAAAATGGCTTAACTCTGACAAAACAATTAACGAGTTACAAAAAATACAATTATAAACATAAGTATACTTCGCGACACAGTATTAATACAATAATAAAACGAATTTGCAGTATAACATAGACGTTACAGTTAATAATAAAAAAGGAGGACACATGATACAACTATTGCGACAAAATGACGTTAGATAAACCACTTTAAATTTCGCATGTAAAGTCAAATTTAAGAATAATAATTTTGTCGTTGGAAGTACGGAGAAATGGAAATAAAATGTGTTTTAAATGCATTGTTGACTTTCGAAAAGCCTTCGATAAAGTCATGCTCATTGGTAGTATCTATAAACTGCAACTTTATAATACAACTAATTATTTTTTATAGAATATTGACGTCTATGTATACTAATGGTAGGTTATGTATAAAAGTGGATGATAAAATGACTTTTACTTTTTATAATAAAATTGAGAATAAAAATGGGGAATGTGTCAAAGAGACAACAACCCGACCGTAGAAAAATACAACAGCAGAAGGTCACCAACAGGTCTTCAATGTAGCGAGAAATTCCCGCTAATTATAAGTTATTCAAATCATTTTAAAATCACTGATGATAAGTATGGCTAGTGAACATTTCCGAAGGAACAATATTGTACCTTCAACATCATGTGTCATTTTATAGTTGCTGAGTTCTTCGTTGCACACATCAACAGGAATAAAAAGGTTATCATCATTTGTTGCATGCTTATCATTCGTGTGGTGATCAAGTTTGCCACTGTCACCTAAATTTGTTGTATAAACGTTACAATTAACAAAAAAAACGTAATAATTTATAATTAATACTAGTTTATCTGTTAAAATAAAGCTTTTTTTGCATCTGAATGTATTTGCCAATTAGAAAAACTTTGCCTCTAATGCTGATTGATATCAATGCAGTAATTATGCAATCGAATTATGTAAAGTAAACTTATATAAATATCACATTTACAATACTTCCTTTAATACTTTTCTTTTTCAAAAACAGTCTACAGTGAAAAAACGTAAAACGATTTAAGGTAGATCATTACTGAATTTTTTTCTCAGACATAATTTTCTTATACATAGCCACAATTTAGTAGAAAATCAAAAGAAAAAGGGTGAAAATAAATCTCGTTTTCTTGCGAAAAATGGAAATTTCATTATCATTCCTTTAAAGAAAATTCACCAAATAAGTTATCTTCCGTTAATTAGCTCAGTTGACAAATTGAATCAAACAAAGACTGATATCCGGTTTTTACAATAACACTTATTTTTTCAATGATATAATGCACTTATTTACATTTATCAAACAAGAGTTTTAAAAATGAATAGCATTTATGTCTCAAAATTTGCAGTTTTAAATAAAGAACTTTGTCGCTTGTGTGCTGCTATTTTACAATTCAAGATGGCGATATACAGATATATAGTGATGATCTACCTAATTCAAAGATATAAGGCTTAAAAATGTGTTCCGTCTACGTAAGACTCATTAGGGTCGCTCCTATCGAAAATGTGAAAATGCCTAATGAAGAACAAAGTTAAAGTAAACTTATTTCATTTCGTTTTGCCAAAAACAATTTGATAAAATATCAAATATATAAATATGGACATTTTACTGATTCTATGGTATTTATCCCTTTCTGAGCACAATATTGATCAACATTTTACCAAACGTGGGTCATTTGATCGAAGTCCTTCCTTAGTCGAAATATAATAATGACGACAAATATTTTGCTTTCCTCTGAATTTTATATAATGACGTCATTGGAATAGGTGATCATGCCCGATGAAGTCAGACAAGAAGAGCATGACTTTTTGTAAATAATCTAAACAAATTATCAAATTTTATTGGAATCATTAGATTAACAGATTCCACAACTATATCTCGTGTTATAAGATATTTCCCAACTATCAACCGTAGACATTATTTTTTTAACATAGATTTACATATGCGTTACTTTAAACTATAACTGTAAAGGTATCTCTTTATGAGAGATAATCATAAATTATATAATTTCTATTATCAGTTACCTTTTGGCTGGAGTGACTGGTAGTGGTTTTCGAAAATGTGCCCAAGAAGAATAGGATTACCGGAAAAACCATCACAACCAGTTACCCAAAGGACACTATCCTCATTATTGGTACTGGGGGCACTGGTGACAATAACTATGTCTCTCTGTAGCATTCTGGACATTCCAATGACCACAACATGGTCTGCGTACTCTCCATTCTGTAACATCCTGTCACAGTAGTCCGGAAAATTGTCTTCAACGAAGTTTTCTAATAACACAATGCCTTGACTGCCCTATTGATTGAAAGAAAGCTACTTACATAAGTCTTTATTAACTACTGTACATTGAAATTGATTAATACAAAACAAATACTTTTATAACTACATTTTATCAAAAATCATCATGATCATAACATACATTTTTTATTTATTTTATTGTTTTTTGTCAATACCTATTATTTAGCATTGTACTATATTAACTGTAAATGATTTATTTAAACATCTGCAGAAAAAAGCATTCTGGTTGATATGAAAGTCTTAACTGATGCTTATTCTTTTATCAGTTTGTAAATCTTTAAATATTAAATTGCATTAATCACAGGTATTACGGGCAGTTACGTCAATTCCAAATTAATATTCTGTCGGAAGTATTTTTGATGGTATTTGTGTGTTAATAGCTTCTTAACTGATTTAAATCATATATTTAAGTTGTGCTGATGCGCCACTAACGTTGCCAACGGTTTTGATTTGTCCCCTGAAAACATGTCCAACTAATTCTTTATGTTTCTGTCCATGGAGGAGTTTGATAATTAGTGAATGTATTTAACAAGTAAATTAGTTTACCTCAAAACTAGGATGTGTTGATATGTAGTTTACAACATTTGTTCTTAATTGTTCGGGAGACATAACGTCTGCGCCAATTCTATCTAGCTGGCATGTGATTGCTTCAAAAAAACAATTCCCATTCCCTGGTGTTTGACCTCTGTATTCTAAGCCATGGGATGAACAGTTCCTCTTAAGTCTCTCAACTATTAATGTTTGTTCCTCGTTTGAAGCTATGGATTGCTTTATAGCAATTTGTAGTTCATCAGGTGTTTGGAATGATTTCCCTTAATATTAGAATATAAGGTTAAAATTTCTTCACTACAAATTTACCGCTAAATGACATTGTTTATACATACTTATGTGTATTCAATTGTAATAAAAACGTATCATTGAAAATATTACTTGTTTATTCAGGGATCATTTGACAGATTTGTTAAGAGTGATATGATTCTGGGTAAACTCTGAATTTTACAATAAAATATGAATTATGATTCTTTCATTTCTTTGTGAGGTTGTTGACATTCACCTCTTTAGAATTATAAATTAACTTTTTCAGACCTTCTGCTCTGAAATATTTGTATCACAAAAGTCTGACATTTTTGGCTATTCATAAATTTATTCAAAAACAATATTTGACTTTGTTATTCATGATTATTGAAAGCAATGATAATATGCTGGTGGTTGACTGGTTTTGTGTAAATTATTTTGTTTTGAATTAAACAAATAAAATGAAGATACAGAACCAAAAACATTCTAAAATTTGAATGATGGCAGCAACTAGATGCATGTAATTGGTATTGACATTTTGTTTTAGAAAATGTGTGTGGAGGTGTGTATGTGTGTTGGTATGTTGGTGTGTGTATGTGTGTTGGTGTGTTGGTGTGTATGTGGGTGTGCTGGTATGTGTGTGTGGGGTGGTAAAAATTTGATATGAGTCCTTTCTTTTTACTAATAAAGGGCATCATAAGAAAATTGAAATAAAACACTGATCAGTATTAAGTGAACTGCCAAAGTGTGTTATGTACACTAGTTTTGAGATAATAAACAAATGATAAAGTAAGGAATAAACCGCAAACCAATTCCGTGTAATGATGTTTGTCTTGTTCCCGATTTTGTGTTTATTGTCGTGGCTTTGTCAATTTGGTTATGACAAGTGGATTTGATTAAATGCCTTTTGAATTTTCTGTTTTTCAGTTTCCAATTTGCGTGCCAACAGATATATTCAACTACAAAAGTCTACAGTATTAACATAAAAATAACACTACTGTGTTATAAATGTATATCTATAATATAATACAGATAAAGAAATAAATCACCTGATGCTAAGCATATCTTTTCTTTCATCTCATTTGCTTTTTCTGTTAAGGTTTGTGCGTGGCGAAGAATATACTGTTTTGAATTTGTATTACATGCTAAAATGGTAGGGAAATATAATATTTGTGCGTGTAATTTCCTAGAATAAATCATATTTTTTCAATTTGCATATGTACACAAAAAAACAAAAACAGTAACAATTTTCGATTTGTTGGAATAAGATACTAATTTTGAAACACTTTTAAAAAAAATATATACGCAGTCGCTGAGCCATTACAAATTGGCCAAGGATAATTGATCGTAGCTGAATAAAGTTTTAAAAAATGAAGAGCATATTATCCATGCCATCGGTCGTTGTAAAATATTTAGCATAAAAGGTCAATCCGTGGTAAAATCAGTATAAATTCAAGCCTAAATGAATTATTTCTCAATTGTATGATCTAAACAGCGTAATCTATACAATACTGTATGAAAAATATCACGACATTTGTGGCGGTTTGGGCATAAATGAGAAAACACAATTCATACCCAATTCTCTGGCTTTTTTCTCCAAAGAGGTTGCCTCAATATATATGGCTTCAATCTGTTTTTTAACTTCTTCCTTTTCTTCATGTCGCAATTCATGGAGGTCTTCCAAATTAAAGTTTTCCAAACCTGTAAGATATGGAAATGGCGGAATAAATAACGATGTTTCAAATATACACCGCGATAATGTATCATAATTTGACATTCCTTAACTATAATTTTGGAATTTGTGCAGTTTTTCTAGTTTTTGAAGTATTTGATTTGTACTATCAACCCTACGTTTCGAATTCTGATTTTAGGAATTGAATATTGGTCTTAATATGACCTCTACTATGATTAATGAAATAATTATGTTTGAAACTGTAACCATTACCTTCAAAATCGCCTGTTACACCTGTCATATTTCCTCTATTTAATTCACGAACAAAAAACCCTGTAATGAGAATGTGAAATATATCATATTTATTTTTAAAATGTCAACAAAATCTTTTTTTTATTAATTGTATATAACCGGAGAAACCATGAGACCCCTTAAAAGTCATATAATTATATATAGGATGAACAGATTTAACCAAAATGAATTGCAGTTCAGGGTAATAAGAGGTTGCCTAAGACATTATTTGCGTCAGATTACCAAAAGTAAATAAATTATAGGATGGGTATCCAGAGATATCCATAATCATTATCTGTTTATGATGAGCAATATTCATATTCAATATAAATGTTGCGGGAAGTGTTAACCAAATTTAACATCTGGATAGTGTGAAACGAGATAATCGATGCCAATAAAGATTCATTAATTATGAATTGTGACCAGAACCTAAAGTTAATACCTGTGTATGGTGACCAAAGGTAACCACATTCAAAATCTGTAAAGGGTGACCAGAGGTAATTTAAGTAAATATATGTATACGATGACCGGAGGTAATCTCATTCAATAATATGAAAGGGTTACCCAATTCGAAATCTGTGTAGGGGGGCCAGAGGTAAACATATTTAATATCTGTGTAGAATGACCTGAGTTAACCACATTCAATATCTTTTAAATTGACCAACGATATTCATCTTATGAACTGTCACCATAGTTAACATAAGCCAATTTATTGTAGGGTGACCAAAAGTAACCATTTTCAATATCTGTGTTGGATGACCAGAGGTAACCATAGCCAATATCTGTGTGGGTGACCAGAGGTAACCATATGCAATATCTTTGTAAGGTGACCAGAGGTTACCTTAGTCAATATCTGTGTAAGGTGTCCAGAGGTAACCTTATTCAATATCTGTGTAGGGTGACCAGAGGTAACCATATTCACAATTTTGGTAGGGTGACCAGAGGTCACCCTATTTAATATCTTTGTAAGTTGACCAGAAGTAACCATATTCAATATTTTTGTACGGTGACCAGAGGTAATCACATTTAACATCTTTGTAGTGTGACCAGAGATTACCAAATTAAACATCTAAGTAGGGTTAATAAAGGTACCTAAATTCAATATTTATGCATGGTGTCTAAAGATAAATAAATGTATATCTGTGTATGGTGACCCGAGGTAACCACATTAAAAAAAAACAATTGCTATATATATTTGTTGACAACGGCTACATAATTTAATATATGTGTACACCGACCAGAAGTGGCTATATCAATTATAAAAGTAGCGCAAAAAGTGTGCACCGAGATAACCATTGCTAACCAAATTCATTATTTATGAATTGTAACCATAGGTAACATAAGCCAAATTTTTGTAGATTGACCAAAGGTAACCATAGCCAATATCTATGTGGGTGACCAGAGGTGACCATGTTCAAATTATGCGTAGAGTGACCAGAGGTAACCATACTTAATATATGTGTAGGATGACCAGAGGTAACCACATTCAAACTCTTTTTAGATGATCAAAGATAACCATATGCAATATCTTTGTAAGGTGACCAGAGGTAACCATATTCAAAATTTTAGTAGGGTGACCAGAGGTAACCATATTCAAAATTTTGGTTGGTTGACCAGAGGTTACTATATTCAATATCTTTGTAGGGTGACCAGAGGTAACCATATTCAATATTTTTGGAGGGTGACCAGAGGTAACCACATTCAACATCTTAGTAGTGTGACCAGAGATTACCAAAATAAACATCTTAGTAGGTTTAATAAAAGTACCTACATTCAATATTTATGCATGGTGTCTAAAGATAAATAATTTTATATATGTGTATGGTGACCCGAGGTAACTACATTAAGAAAAGGCAATTGCTATATATTTTTGTTGACAATGGCAACATAATTTAATATATGTGTACATCGACCAGAAGTTGCTATATTAATAATAAAAGTAGCGTAAAAAGTGTGAACCGGGATAACCGATGCTAACCAAATACATTATTTATGAATTGTAACCATAGGTAACATAAGCCAATTTATTGTAGGTTGACCAGAGGTTACCATTTTCAATATCTGTGTAGAGTAACAAGAGCTAACCATACTCAATATATTTGTAGGGTGACCAGAAGTAACCACAATCAATATCTTTTTAGATGACAAAAAAAACCATATCCAATATCTTTGTTAGGTGACCAGAGGTAACCATATTCAAAGTTTTGGTAAGGTGACCAGAGGTTACCATGTTCAAAATATGTGTAGGGTGACCAGAGGTAACCATAGTCAATATATGTGTAGGGAGACCAGAGGTTACCACATATAATATCTTTTTAGGTGACCAAAGATAACCATATGCAATATCTTTGTAAAATGACCAGAGTTAACCTTATTCAATATCTGTGTAGGGTGACCAGAGGTAACCATATTCAAAGTTTTGGTTGGGTGACCAAAGGTAACCTTATTCAATATATGTGTAGGGTGACCAGAGGTAACCATATTCAAAGTTTTGGTTGGGTGACCAGAGGTAACCTTATTCAATATCTGTGTAGGGTGACCAGAGGTTACCATATTCAATATCTTTGGAGGGTGACCAGAGGTAACCACATTCATCATTTTGGCAGTGTGACCAGAGGAAACTATATTCAAAGTTTTGGTTGGGGGACCAGAGGTAACCTTATTCAATATCTGTGTAGGGTGACCAGAGGTAACCATATTCAATATCTTTGGAGGGTGACCAGAGGTAACCACATTCATCATTTTGGCAGTGTGACCAGAGGTAACCATATTTAAAGTTTTGGTTGGGTGACCAGAGGTAACCTTATTCAATATATGTGTAGGGTGACCAGAGGTTACCACATTCAAAAAAGGCAATTGCTATATATATATGTGTGTGTTGACAATGGCAACATAATTCAATGTATGTGTACAGCGACCAGAAGTTGCTATATTAATTATAAAAGTAGCGCAAAAGTGTGAACCGGGATAACATATGCTAACCAAATACATTATTTATGAATTGTAACCATAGGTAACATAAGCCAATTTATTGTAGGTTGACCAGAGGTTACCATTTTCAATATCTGTGTAGAGTAACAAGAGCTAACCATACTCAATATTTTGTAGGGTGACCAGAAGTAACCACAATCAATATCTTTTTAGATGACAAAAAAAAACCATATCCAATATCTTTGTTAGGTGACCAGAGGTAACCATATTCAAAGTTTTGGTAAGGTGACCAGAGGTTACCATGTTCAAAACATGTGTAGGGTGACCAGAGGTAACCATAGTCAATATATGTGTAAGGAGACCAGAGGTTACCACATATAATATCTTTTTAGGTGACCAAAGATAACCATGTGCAATATCTTTGTAAAGTGACCAGAGGTAACCTTATTCAATATCTGTGTAGGGTGACCAGAGGTAACCATATTTAAAGTTTTGGTTGGGTGACCAGAAGTAACTTTATTCAATATATGTGTAGGGTGACCAGAGGTAACCATATTCAAAGTTTTGGTTGGTTGACCAGAGGTAACCTTATTCAATATCTGTGTAGGGTGACCAGAGGTAACCATATTCAAAGTTTTGGTTGGGTGACCAGAGGTCACCCTATTCAATATCTTAGTAGGGTGACCAGAGGTAACCATATTTAAAGTTTTGGTTGGGTGAACAGAAGTAACCTTATTCAATATATGTGTAGGGTGACCAGAGGTAACCATATTCAAAGTTTTGGTTGGGTGACCAGAGGTAACCATATTCAATATCTTTGGAGGGTGACCAGAGGTAACCACATTCATCATCTTGGCAGTGTGACCAGAGATTACCAAAATAAACAGCTTACTAGTAGGTTTAATAAAGGTATCTACATTCAATATTTAAGTATGGTGTCTAAAGATAAATAACTTTATATCTGTGTATTGCGACCCGAGGTTACCACATTCAAAAAAGGCAATTGCTATATATATGTATGTGTGTGTTGACAATGGCAATATAATTCAATGTATGTGTACAGCGACCAGAAGTTGCTATATTAATTATAAAAGTAGCGCAAAAGTGTGAACCGGGATAACCGATGCTTACCAAATTCATTATTTATGAATTGTAACCATAGGTAATATAAGCCAATTTATTGTAGGTTGACCAGAGGTAACCATTTTCAATATCTGTTATTGTTTACCAGAGGTTACCTTTTTCAATATTTGTGTACGTTGATCAGAGGTTACCACGTTCAATTTATGACCGAAGTTTACAAAATTAAATATTTAAGTAGGCTAACTATAGGTAACCAAATTAAATATTTATGCATGGTGACTAGAGGTAATCAAGTTTTCTATCTGTGTAAGATAAGAGGTAACCACATTCAAAATATGTGAAGGGTGACCAGAGGTAACCCAATTCAGTATTTGTGTAGGGTAACTTGAGGTATTTAAAGTTCATAATTCAATATTTTAGTAATTTATGTATGATTAATCATATTAAAACTCTTGCACAGTCATCAGTACATTTTCATTATTACCGGACTTAAGAAAGAACTCACACGATGGGAGCGTTCAAGACATGATTAAGAAGATTCCTGTTGTTCCTTACTTTTTTAATGTTGTTGTAAATTTCTTTTGGTATATCTGTTTACTCCTTGGTTTTGATTGTATTTGTCTTAGTAGGGTGACCAGAGATTACCAAAATCAAGACATATTTAGGGTAACAAGAGGTAGTTAAAGCCAGTATATAGGTTTTGAAACCGAACATAACTCAATTAAAAGTATTTGAAAGATGTCCAGATATAACCGTGATCATTATCTGTGTAGGATGGCAAGTTTATAACTAATTCAAACATCTGTGTTGGGTGACCAGAGGTTTCAATATTCAGTATATGTGAAGGGTGACCAGAGGTAACCATATGCAATATCTTTGTAAGATGACTAGAGGTAAACTTATTCAATATATGTGTAGGGTGACCAGAAAGAACCATATTCAAAATTTTGGTAGGGTGACCAGAGGTCACCATATTCAATATCTTTGTAGGGTGCCCAGAGGTAACCATATTCAACATCATTGTAGAGTGATTAGGGGTTAACCATATACAACATCTTGGTAGGGTGTCCATATATTACCAAATTAAACATCTAAGTAGGGTTATTAAAGTTAAATAAATTCAATAGTTATGCACAGTGTCTAAAGATAAAAAATAGAATATATGTGTAGGGTGACCAGAGGTCACCACAATTAATTATGTAAAAGGTGACAAGGTGCAACAAAATTCAATATCTGTGAAGGCTTGCCGGGTTGACAAGAGGTAACCAAATTCAATATCTTATAATGTTTATTGCAATTCAATACATGTGTTGGGTGACCAGAGGTCACCACAATTAATTATGTACAATTAATTATGTAAAAGGTGACAAGGTGACAAGATGTATAGAAATTCAATATCTGTTTAAGGGCCATTCAATATCTATATCTGTGTCAATTAATTAGAAGAACCACTGTAAATTTATCTGCAAAGGAAGTAAGGTTAATAAAGTTACTATGCATTTTGTATCAAATGACCAGTGTAACTGTATGCACTATTATTTTCTGTATAGGGTGACCAGAGGTAACCAATGGCAGTTTAAAGGTACCCGAGTTCGAGGCATACCATCTTTTTAGTTATATTTCATGAGAGTGCAATATAGGCCATTAGGTTATTTTTTTTTCTGAAAAATAAGACATATCACTCGTTAATAGAGTTACAGATGAATCTTCTATGCATTTTCAATTGTTTGTTTTGAGTGAATCATTATGATTATTGATTATTTGTGTATTATTTTTTACTTTTTGTACCTCTCTCAACAGTATCCTTTGAAATATGGTGATTCCAGAACTTTGCATTAAGCTCATATCCGTATTGTATAACAGCAATTATAAACTGAGTATGCTGCACTGAGTATCCCCTTAGTAACGTACTTTCACTTTAAACCGGAAATCATGTACTATTTTTTGTCGCGTATAGACTCAATTTTAACCGTTTCTGTTCAGGTGACCAGTGGGCACCGTTCAGCGTAACTATCATCCTTGTGCGAATGTTTAACATGGATTCTCTGTAAATATCAACCATGCCAGATAAAGGGTGTGGCACGCATAGTCTCAGAAAAGCTTTAAACTTTGTCAGTTATCACACTTTTATGAATAAATGAAAAAATAATATTGATATTGTTGCTATGGACCATGGTTGCCATGGTAACAGGCTATTCTATTTTTACCTTCAAAATTGCTCCTTTTCAACTATGAAATAGGTCGACTTCGGGCATTAATATCAACTTAAATAGCAATATATAAGTTAAATTCCCTATTATTTATATGAATATCATTACAAAATTACTCCCATGCTTTAGTGGATTTGGTGTTGATCAGTCGATAGCACGCCTCCGGGTGCGGGACTTTCTCGCTGCATTGAAGACCTGTTGTTGACCTTCTGCTGTTGTCTGCTCTATGGTCGGGTTGTTGTCTCTTTGACACATTCCCCATTTCCATTCTCAATTTTTTTTAATGTAGTGTTTTTAGACCGCTGTTTGTCGTTTCGTCGATTTTCGTTTTTGGTCATTCTGTTGTTGGTTTCTCTTCGACTGATGAATTTGAATTGTCCATTTCGCCTGTCTTTTTTACATTTTCGTTTACTTTAATATCCTTTTATTCCCATAATCGTCACTATATATATTTCATGTATGTTTGTACATTTTGTTTATAATTATATGATTTAAGTTGACTGTTTCTCTCAACTAAAAACTAAAGAATATATTCATGTTTTGTCAAAATGTATCGTCCAGTATCATTTGTTTTCTGCTTAATGACAGCCACTATAAATTCAAACATTTCCAAAAGCTGTTATCTTTATCTACATTTTAACGATTCCAAAGACTATTTGGGTGATTGCAGCTTATAAATATGAAATGCGGGAGTAAATATTCAAGTTTTGGCTTACTTGTGGTGGTTATAAGATTGAGTAAACCACTTTTTAATCGACTGACAAGTGTTTCATTATTTAAGAAATGTGTCGATCCTCCTGTCAGAGAAAGTACTGCCTTTGGTGGTTTCTCATCCGGGGCCCACTTCAGCAACTCCTTATATAACACTACCCTGTCTATGTCGGCGGGCACTCGGATACACTGACCAAAAATATGAAAACAACACTTTATAAATTTCATGCGTCCGAAACGTTTATTTTTTAATTCAAAGGCAAAATTTCTTTTATTGATTAGTCCTTAAATATGTTCATACTCCCTTTGTATTCATGAATGTTTCGATAATTTATAACCCTTTGTATGAATGTACTGACGATATTTATTTTTTTGTATACGTTTCCGCTAGTTCTATCCCTTTGTATAATGTTTCTAGCGATTTCGATCACTTTGCAGGAATTTTGTTCTAACGATATCCATTTCTTTATTTGGATGATTTCTTCCCCTTTGTATGAAATAATTGATTCATTTGTATATGTAACATAAAATATTGTTCACCATGAAATATTGTCTGTCGGACAAAATTTTATATAAAATATTGTCCGCAGACACTATTTCATAATGAAATACTGTCCAGGGCAATATTTCATTATGAAATAGTGTCCTTGCCCATGAAATTTTGTCACCTCCTTCTGGACAATATTTCACAATGAAATTCTGTCCATGACAATATTTCACTATGAAAGAATGTCTATTATGAAATTCTGTCCATGGCAATATTTCACGGTGAAATACTGTCCATGACAATATTTCACTGTGAAATACTGTCCATGAAAATATTTCTTAATCAAATTATTACAAAATTAGAAATAATACACAAGCATGCAGCATGCACATTTTTAGATTTATAACTGAAATTGTTTTGTAAAGTAAGTATTTTATATTTCAAACTAATATTTATTTTAACAGAAGCTAGTTTCAAATTTGCATAGATACTTTATAAATGGTTATTTATAGATTAAAGAATTGTCTTACGTATGTTCCATTGTACTACATTATACTCTATAAATATAAGTAATGTACTGACAATCGCTTATTTGTGTTTAAAATTGAATGTACTAATAGTATTCGTAAATACTAGATTGACGAATCTTTTTTGCAAAGGCGTTTTGGAGGTGCAGAAGTACAATGGAATATTAATTTGTGTTTATTTGTTATTATTAGTCAAATAAAATATCATTATCTAACATGAATATATGTTGATAACCTCCCCTTCATGACACAAAATTTCATGACAATCTGTCTATGAAATATTGTCTCAATACACACAAAATATAACCTCCCTTTAACAGGACAAAATTTCATAGTATTCATCTGTGAAATATTGTCTATGTACAGACAAAATTTCACAATGGAAATTTGTCCTTCTCTGGACATTTTTCCATAGATAAGGACAATATTTCATGATACATAGTCAGACAATATTTCATAGGACAATATTTTGCTTTACGTATATACGTTCTGACTATTTCATTTTCTTAAAAAATACATGTACCTATAATAAATAACACTAATAAAAAATACAAGCTTAAACTCATATCAAAGGGACCAGTAATTTTATTAAAAAACATTCATTTTTGGCTATAAATGGGTGCGAGTGCGGGATCCTCCTACATTAATCTGTCCGTGACGATTGAAGATTGGAGAACAAGTATTTATTGAAAAACCATCTGTTTATCAGATATGTCCATGAGTTTAGTTCTGGTAATCCAACTATATAAAATATGTGACAACACAAAATAGCCTAAACAGAATCAGATGGTTTGTTCTAGTTGCAGTTTCTTTCTTCGTATTAAATGAAAATAACAAGTATACATGTTATGCAACCGAAGCCTTCATCAGTAACGCTAGAAATAGAAATTTGCAGTCAATGCTGAACAAGTACGCGAAGACGTAAAATAACAGCCAAATCCATCTAAGGTTAACTTTGATTGAGGGAGTTAAAACCTTTGTTTCATAATGATTTCTTAATCTATAAAACAAAGAATTTAAGAAAGGTATGTAATAAATCATGTCAGTACCAATGCATTGACTAATGACCTGATAAGACCATAACGTACCAACGGTTTTTAACATAAAACCACAACTTGGTATTATTCTTGACTAATAGAATATAATGTTGGGTTCGTTAAAATGAGTTGATGTTGTGAATATGATGATTCGTGTTATCCTTAACTTATCTTGGTTTTTTTTTTTACTTATGATTATTTATAATTAGTATATGTTACATGCCTTTAATGGACCAGTGATCGGTTGAATCAAGTATTCAAATTCGTAAACAATTAAAAATACAAATATATTTTAAAGAACATACAGGAACTTTTTTTAGTTCATCTGGGTCATCTGACTTCGATACGATTATTCCACGTATAAGGTTGTTCAGTTTCTCATGCCCACTTCTAACAAACGTTTGCGTCTTTTCCTGAAAAGTTCAGTTAATATGCAAAAAAAATTGCAGGAATGATAAAATTGTCCAATTATATCTTATATTTGAATAAAAAAGGAACTTAACTGAAACCATTAAAAGATTATAGTAACTTTACCTTATACAAGTTATCAAACATATTCAAACATGTTTTTTAGGAACATATATATTGACGGGACTTGACACTACCTGATTGTAGTCGATTTTATCGTCGTGCCATAGTTAATAAAGATACGATACAGAAACGGACATGTGTTAAAAACGGAGTCGCTATTATCCTAATAATTTCTGATATTATCAATAAAATGTCATTCAAACTAGTTTTACAGTGAAGCTAGTGTATCAAACTTGTATTGTGTCACTTCAAATTTGTTAAAATCGAAAGCATTTCATCACAGAATTGTGCAGAATGCAAACCAGGTAATAAAAAAATGGCGGCCATTGCCGCGATGATTTACAAATTCCCAAACTATTATAAAACCCTTCACATCAAATAAATCAAACTTATTTTGGTAATTTTATATGACAAAATATATCTACTAAATGATAAAACTTGTATTTATTTACAATTAGAGTTATGTGGTTTATTTGTTGAGCAGTTCTGATAGTTTTTCAGTCAGACGCTACCAAAATCCGTAAATCTCGGGAAGTCTCGGGGAGTCCGAGATTTTATCAATTTTATACTGAAAAGCGTATCAGATTCATTTCCTGTTAGATATACTGTTCCCAGATTTGATTAATAAACTAAAAGAAATTGTTCCAGAAATTGACTTAAAAATAATCATATCATGGATAAATTCAAAATCTGAAAAAGAATCAGACCGACTATCATATAAACATATAAGACAGCAACTTATATGGGGCAATAAACATATAAAATTAAATGGTAAATGTTTTATTTTCAAAAATAAACAGTAAAATTTTATCTGTAAATGACATAATTGATGATAAAGGAAAAATTAATCAAAATATGATTTTAGATAAACTATCTTGCCATGCTAATTGGTTTTCGGAATATTCTAAATTGATGAAAGCAATACCAAAAACAGTTGTTACAAGAGCTAACAAAAGAAGAATCAATTAAAACAAAAGTTGCTACCGACTCCGAATTTAAATTTCAAGATAGAAAAGGAAAGATGGTATCAATAAAAACATGTTCCTCCAAAGATATTTACATCTCCCTTTTAAATAGATATTATAAGAAGGCAATAGGATTTCAAAAATGGGACAGAATGCTTAATTTAGATAACAATACAAGGAAAAGAGAACAAATGTTGTACTTTATCTTTAACCATATCCAAGATAATAAATTGAAAATGTTAAGATGGAAATTTCTACATTACATTTTAAGAACCAAACAATTACTTTTCTCTTGGAAAATAACTAAAACTCATTTATGTAACATATGTAATGTCATTGAAGATTATGAACATTACTTTTTGACCTGCAAATATTTGAAATTATTTTGGGATCAAATAAAACTAATACTAGATAAACTTAAAATAGGACATCATATAATTTCACTTGCATCACTTTTGTATGGATACAAGATAAACGGTACAAACTATTACAATATTAACGATTTTCTTACAATTATACTTTTTACTATATATAAAGTATATTATATATCCGAGCAGAAAGCAAACAAAACAAAACAATGTGTTTGAAATTTTTATAAATGAACTTCTCCAACATTACGAAATATTGACAAATAAGTTAGGCAAATATGAAAACTTAAACAATTTGGTTCCAAAAAAATTGATTTATCTTCTAAAACTAAATTTATTATATATCATATTACTTTCATTTTAATCTGTTGCATATTATTCATTAGCTAAACTATATAGTGTGTACTAACAAGTACTAACCTTATCACTGAAATGCTATATACTAACGTTAACGAGGCCGGGATAAGGTACCGGTACTTTATGTATTTCTAACAAATGTAAATTTCAAATAAAATATATACCAAGTTAAAAAAAAAAAAAAAAGTAGTAACTAATATGTGTTTAACATTTAGGGAGAAAAAAATTGTATTAAATGGAAATTTGTACGTTCTGCATTTGTGGCTGGATATATTAATTCATTGTGTGTGTTTGTTCTTGTTTTATTTTGTTTTGCTCTGTTGTTTTGTTGTTGTTTTTTCATTGATTTAAATTTTTTTTCTTTTTATTTGGTAATTTTGTCTCTTATTTTCTTTGTTGTTATTATTTTTCTTTTCTTTTTTCCCTCTTTTTTTCTCTTTTTTTTTTTTTTTTGCTTGTGTTTTGGAAGAGGGGAGAGGGTCTAGTGTGTTATTATGGTTATAGATTTTTTTTGAAATGCTCATTTTTGTATTACTTTTGAATATTGAACCGGCTGCTAGAGGCCGATTGGACATTTAATTATATAATGTCGAATGACAAATACCGAAACAACTGCTAACTTCACATACATTTGCCAAAAACACACTTAAATCTGCGCAACTTAACTTTTAATTATCGCACAATCATATAGTTTATAGAATAATAACGATAAAAAATGTTTTATAGCCTCTGATAAAAACTTTTCGAAAGTCAAACTATTAGTCCCTAAAACACTGACCCGGTACCATCATATTTTTATATGATAGCAAATGAACTCTCACATTCGATGTAACTGATATTTTTCTCTCAAAAACTATTCTAGAGGTACATAAGAGGGGCGAAAGATATCAAAGGGACATTTAAACTCATAAGTCGAAAACGAACTGACAACGCCATGGCAAAAAACGAAAAACGATCAAAAGACAAACAACAGTATACAAAACACAACATAGAAAACTCACGACTGATCAACACGAACCCCACCAAAAGCCGAGGGTGATCTCAGGTACTCCGGAAGGGAAAGAAGATCCTAGTCCACAGGTGGCACACGTCGTGTTACTCAAATAAGTACAAACCCGTTGATAAGTCTAATTCGTTAAGGTTATACAAGATTCGATACGTTTATTTGTGATAGAAACTTTGAAACTTATATAAGTTGTCCCTGAACTGATATGTTGATACAACTTACAATTGTTAAGAGAAATACAAGTAAAAAATATATTATTAATAAAGTATTACGCAACAGATACAATAAAAAAGAAAATACCTGACGTGTTTCCTTTATATCATTTTGATTTAAAGATTTGTTTAACCATATATCAACGCCAGCGTTGTTCTTTCCTACGCTCCTACGTGTAGGTTTTATCTTCTGATCCGCGTCCATCTTTCAAAACAGCATCTATTTTTGAATTTAAAAACATATATATTTTCTGCCAGTAAATACTGTTCATTGACCACTTACGATAAGTTGATAACGCTCACTTGGTCATTTACGGGTCAGTTGATTGCACCAGAAAGGCCTTCGAAATCTGGTAACCTACGAGGTCTTCACAGGTCTATTGCTGGCATTAGAGAAGCCTTTGAACCCTGGTTACCTACATGATCGTCATGGGTCATTTGATGATATAAGAGAAGCCTTCTCGAACCCTTAATGCCTATAAGGTCTCTACGAGTCATTTGATGGATTTAGCGAAGGCTTCGAATCCTTGTTATTTACAAGGTCTTCACCGGTCATTCGGTGGCATCAGAAAATCCTTCGAAACCAAACATTGACTGGTATAGAAATATGGTCACATTAATTATGCCATGTGTCGTATTTGGTTGTATGGAATGTATAAATACCACGTGAATGTCGGTACAAGTAAAGAGATCTGACCTTTGACTGACAAGACCAGTATCTGGACAGTATGGTGCAAGTTTTTTGTCTTTTAAACATTGAAAAAAAACCTCCGCTATCACAAGTTTCTTAGAAATCTCGCCTGTGTACAAATTCGTATTCTCTTTAGCAGTATAAAAATATCAACTTTATTATTCGATCTTAAGAACATCAAAAACAAAACAAAAAAATCACATGTCGGCCTCTATATTTCTTTTGTCTTTTTTGTCATTGGGTTGCTGTGTCTCATTTACGTATTCCTAACATATCTCTTTGGAATACTAAGGAAAAAATTGCGCAATTCGATTCTTTATTCGCATTGTAATAAAAATAATGATATCTTTATTTAAAGAGAGTAACTTATTTGGATGAAACCAATTTTCAATAGGGCTCTCTAGATACAATAGTTACTACATGAATAAATCATAATCAATCTACTAATAAACAACAATAAACAATATATATACATATAACAAACATAAAAGAACAATAGTATACAGGTAAGGGGGACGGTTGGCGCCTTCAAACATTTTTTGAAACCTGTCACATTCTATATGTGTCCTTCCCAAGTCAGGAGCCTGTAATTTAGTGGTTGTCGTTGGTTCATGTCTGTCATATTTGCTTTTTATAAATTGATTTGTTATAAATTAGGGCGTTAGTTGAATTGTTACATATTTTTTATGTCGGGACCTATTATAGCCGACTATACGGTATGGGTTTTTCTCATTGTTGAAGGCCGTACGGTTGCCTATAATTGCTTACATCCACTTTATTTGAACTTTGGTGGATAGTTGTCTCATTGGCAATCATACCACATCTCCTTATTTTTATATTGTTGTTAAAGTTACAAATATAACACTTTGTTAAAAATTTAATGACTTGTAAAGATACAGCTTTTCATTGTTAATTCATTGTTCGTTCCATAATCTAGTGACCTGAATGAAATAGTTCAACTTATGTTTAAATCATTAATATAAAGTGTAGTTTCTCATTGAGTAAATATTGCCTATTATATACTAGTCAACAAAAGTAACGATACACAAGTTTGAACTCCAATGTATCATAAAATATAATAAATAGGAAAAACTGTTAAATTATCCAATGAAAAATATTCATTTGCAAAGCAAATGCATATGATTAAAAGAATCTGACCAAATTTAAAAGTGAAAAAATACCGTGTTATTGAACACAGGGGGCAACTTTATTTTGCGGAAAATGAAGATAAAAGTCGGCACTTAATTTCGAAGATGAGAATTAAGTATTCAAATATCTGCAAAGGCATTCAAAATTTTAAGCAGACCATGTGTATGTTTAAGTTTAAAGTTTTAAGTTCATATATCGATTTTTGAATATTTGGGTGAAAATACGATTTTTGAAATAACAAAAATTGCCAAAAAAACAAATTCGCGAATTAGCCTTAAATCAATGGTTTTGAAAGAAAATCACACTCTGTAAATATTAGACCAATTGGGCAATTATTTACCTTGGTACAGTGCATCCAATTTCATTATATATGAAAAATACATTGCCTTGTATCGTTTCTTTTGTTGACTAGTATATGTATACCTTTTTAAAAAATATGCTGAATACTGATAAAATTTTTACGTTCTATATTGTTATTAGGACGATAGTTTCACATTACAAATTAAATTGTAGTTCTGGAGAGAAAAAACAAGTGTGTTAATGCACAATTTCATTTCTAATTTATTTATTTATTATTTGGATGACTATTGAGGAATGAAGATAATGATTCATTTAGAAAAAGATATATGCAATTGAACAGTGATTGTAAATGACCAGTCAATTACGGACAATAGGTTGATTGATTGATAGATGTTTTTTAACGTCTAACGTCCAGTGGCAAATGTTTCATGCATGTTCAGAACGAAACCAAAAAAACAATTAATACAATAGGTAGAATATATATGCACGGTAATGGTCGACTGGAATTTAGATTGGCAATGGAAAATAAGGGGTATTTTTTATGAGACCAGAATGCTTCGGAACAAATCTGTGGCCACATACGGACGCGTATTTATGCATCCCAAACAACTAAATGGACGCCGCACGTTAACAAAGGTGTTTACTGCAGGGGCGGGAGAAGTCCGAGGTATTGTCATATTTCTATACCACAGTCAACCTTTAGGGTCGTACAATAGAGAACCGTTCATTTTGCGTTGGGTAAAATGGATACAAGAGTGTGCCTTCGTCACTTGCATAATATATTTTACTATCTTCAATTGTTCGCGTTCACTGATATGTCACGTGATTAGAAAACGGGAGTTTAATCAATCAACCATTTTTGAAGGGGTTATACGGGGTGCTCATTTCCAAAATCCCAATTTTTTGGTAATTTTTCCAACTTCTCCCTTTTGTCCTTCTTTTCCTCAGATTCCACTTTTTTGCCCCCTATATCACAAATCCTCGCTTTTCTTACTACCTGTATCCCATATCCCCAAATTTTAAGCCCCTATATTCCAAGGTAAAAGGTATTCTACCCCTCATTTTTTCAGATTTCTTAAATCATGTACATATGCTATTACGGAATAATGACTGGATTTATTATCGTTCAAATAACCTTATTAATCACAAATATTCCAAACTGATTTACTATGTAACTGAATTTTATATAAATAAAAATCAGAGACATGGGTTGGAGCATTTTAATGCTCTTCATGATTATGAAACATGCCGTTGGCATCGCTTATTCTGACAACTAAGAATGATGTAATCTATTACAAATTTTCTTCCAAACATGGTAATTGAGAAACAAGAGTTTTACCAACTCTTTTTGGAAATGCTTCTTGGCTATCTATCCTTTAACACGGACTTCATATGTCTAAAAATATATTGTTATAGCTATTTAAATACGACCGCCCAAATTTTTCCGTAATTAGACTGCTACCTTAAATCACCTATTGTTGTGCAGACATCGATTGTCTCTCTATTGTCCATATTAATCAAATAATCACTCCAATACATTACAATTGTGACCTGACGGGGACATCTCAAACATTTTACCCAACGTAGCTTATTTGTACGCCTTCTAATTAGCAATGGAAAAATATGCAAAGGAAAAGCCAGGAAAGTGCTTTATTTTCTGCATGATTTACAAAATATATTCAACTTTCGCATACATTCTGTAAAAAACGACACGCATGGGTCCGATTTATTTTTAAATTGAATTTGCAAATAAATAAATTAATATTTAAATAATCAAGCAACGTATTATCAAAGGCGTATTTGAAATACGAAATGCCGGTACGATGAATTTGCCAACTCGCCAAGTACTGCTAGCGCTGTTGGCATCCAAGGTTAACATGCAGATAAAAATCCACCAAATAATGAATTCGACCATGTAAGCCTTATATTAAACTAGTTTGACACAGGTACACAAATGTGTACGTATTTATTGTGTCATACATCAAGGGTATAAGCTTTGAGAAACTGGCGCCAAATTTGGTTTGTTCTACAAAAATGTGATGGACGAACCCGCGTATACAAACAAGGGAATGAGTATTTATCTCGCCCCTGTTTCCGCACAGGAAGCTGACAGGCTTGTAGGTCAAAGCATCATGATGACAGCCGTAATATGTTCCAACCGGAAAACAAAGCTAGCGCGTGTTCAAGAAAATTAAACAGCCCAACGTTATTAAGACGATATTTTACAGTCACATATCCGTCTAGATTATCAGGTTTTCTACACATTGATATCGTTAAATATCAGCTGCCAGTCACAATGTGAACATTTTTGGTGAGTGTACTGATATTTTGCAATATCTTTACATAGAAAACCCGATAATATGCTCATCATTCTATTACTGGTATTTTCCGCCTCCCTTAGACAGTTTGTGACTGGTTTATCAATGCAAATATTCGTTCAGTATCCTGTGTGAGAATTTTTGCCCTAAAAAACAAAGCATTGCTGTAAAAATTCGATTTGAAGTACATAGAATAACTTCCAGGAAAGAAAAAAATACATTATAAGTTTCTTTTTTTTTTTTTTTTTGCAAAAGGGTTTTATGTCCTGCAAGGCCTTACACCTTTCCAGTTGCACGAGAGAATAAAGGTTGTAGTGATAACACTAATGAACGATAAACTTAACATTTAAAAACTCAACTACATCAAATATCAAAATCGCCGTCAGAAAAATAACAAAGGACCACAACAAACAAACAAACTTTCTTTTGTCCTCTGAAATTTATATGTATTAATTCTAGTCCAATTCCAAATGCATATTTAAAATACTGTTTAACCCGATGTTAATGGAGTACTCACTTCTTATTTCAACATTTTAGGCCCCGATGATGGGAACACTCACTACTTGTTTCCATTCAGTCAATATCCCATTAAACCAGGACAACATATGATAGAACGATTTAATACATAAATCCATGAAACATGTTGGGAACCTTTCCAAAGGTGTTGTTGATATTGTCTTTTTATTTAAAACCCAGTGATCAAGTAACTTGGAATCGATATGAAATAACCATACTTCGTATATTTGTTCTTGAAGAATTTAATTATTATCAAAATTATCCCATGCACACTATTTACTTCTTTGTTTCGTAAAAGAGAACAAAACACGTTGTTGACATTTAAGGATCTTTAAATCAAACAAACAATACACTGCTAGCCTATGTTAGCACAATAATTATTATATACTGAACAACAAAAGAAACTCAACACTATATTTTTTTACAAATATTTTAATAACAGATATATCTATCGTAAAATTGATACGAAATAAATAAATAACCGCATATGGCAGTATATTTTATGTCACATTTGTTTCATCGAGTATTAACAATGACGTCACACAGCATCTTAAAGACCACAACCCTCATTTCAAAAAGTCAGTATCTGTTGTGGTCATCCCTAGCAAGTGTCATGAAACGACGGTGCATGGATAAAATAATGATCTAGATATTGTGGCATATTGTTATATTCCTCGGTCAATGCACATCGTAAATCATTCACTGAGACAGGTCTTAGTTATCGATTGTCAATACGACGTCCAAACTCATCCCAAACGTGTTCAAAGAGTGCCATGTCCGGAGATTGCGATGGTCAACGCATTGCACGAATGTTTGCATTGTTAAGAAAGGCTGCGGAGATTCTGGGAGTATGCGGACAAGCGTTGTCCTGGAAAACTCTTAAATCCGGATGAGCTTAAAACATTGGCAATTTATTCATATGGTGCTAATATGTCCTCTCTGTATCTCTGTGCGTTAACCGAATTGTCACAAAAATGCAATGGCTTTTTGTAACGAAATGATACACTTGCCCAGATCATAACACTACCACCGCCCCAGCAATCCACTTCCTGTATGCAACACGAAGCGTATCGTTCACTATTTTGCCTCCAAATCCTAGAGCACCTCTAGCCATCGATGACGAGTCCATGGTAAATGAGCCCTTGCTCATTGTAAACGTTGAGTTCGTTGCCGTCAGCAAAGGATGCCACCTTTGTAAGCACGTCGTTGATGAAGTCGGTTTTCGTGGAGTTTGTTTCAAACAGTCTGTGAACTTATTCTTTGTCTATGTCATCCGATGGTTACCCTTGCTGTTGACGTTGCTTTCCTGCAACGGATGCGTAAATGATGTAACTGGATATGGCGATCCTGATGAAGTGTCGTCACTCTAGGAGCACCAGTTCTGATTTCATCGGAAATACTGTTGGTGGTAAACAAAAAAAACGTTGTCGTAGCCGTACAATAGTGCAGTGGTAACAGCAAAAATGATTTGCAACATTTCTCGTCGACACATCGCTCTGCGTCACTTAGACGACCCATTAAGATAAACTTTACCATTCACTTTAAGATGAAACTTGGATTTTCCTTTTGGTCTTTTTGTAATAGCTTTCAAAAACCAAACATTTTTTTTTAACACTTACCTGCATTTATTGCACGTGCTAAAAAACATGTTTTTAGTTTTGAACGTGTTTTCCTTATGAGATGCTTGATTGCACATGATATGAAAACTTACATGTAATTTATGACGTACAAGTCTGGTTACAATAAACAATAGTCGAAAACTAATTTCATCAAAAATTCAGTTATAAAAAATAATTTTTGAGTGGTGCGTTTCTTCTGTTGTCAAGAATGTGTGATCTTAAAACCTTTTTCTCGTTAAAAACAAATTTTGCATTTTCTCAAGAAATCCTTTTCACACTAAAGAAGAAAGTCTTCCAGTATGTCCAACTATTACATAATCTTCTTCCGGTCTCTTTTTAGTACGCGCGGTCAAATATTATTTTTGCCGGGAAATATTTCTTCCTGACATGTGTGCATTTTCCGGTGAGGTCTTACACGAAATATTTGGCACCGGATAGACATGACAGCCTACTCGGACACAGCTATCGTTATGACGTTCGATGTTAATTACATTTTTAGTGAATTTTATTGAAGATTTCAACTTATAAACGTCAGTAACTGCCAGAGCAGATAATATATTAAGCACCATGTACACAAGGAGCAGTTAAATATATTGTGTAAATACTGAAAAATTGGAGATGTATGAAGAAGTAATTTAATAAAACAATTGTTGACTTTTGATGTCAGTTGATACAAGGATTTATCAACCCCAGAGGTATGGCATTCACCCTCGGCCGTTGACCTGGGTAAATATCATATCTCTAGGGCTGAACAATCATTGCACCAACCTCATCAAAAGTCAATATTTGTATAATATTCAGTGCACATGCTTGTTTATTATAGTTATTTATTCAAAAAGATTATACATTATATAAATTGTTTTTAACAAAAATATTGAGGCTTGCACGCAACTTCTAAATAAATAGTTGATAACACGATTTTTGTCATCCAGTCCAACATTAATAGACATCATTTACTATAGAAGCTAGGGGCCTCGGTGGTCTTGTGGTCTTGTACATTTATCTACAGCGATCACCTGCCTCTCAACACTGAAGTTGCGAGTTCGAACACCGCACGTGGTAGGTGCGTTCCACTACGATGTTAGTTAACTAGGATTGCCAGTTTTCCTGAGTGAGCCTGATATACTGTGCTTACCTGCTATGTCAAATGTGTGTATATCAAGGAAAGGCACAAAAGCTACCACAAATGTAATTGACAACCCTTTGCACAGGACAATCATTAGGAAATCGAGAAGATATTGCATCAAAGTCCATCTTTTCTCAACTTTATAGGTTCTAATTAGACGTTCGCTTATAAGAAGGAACAGTATATATATCGTAATTTTGAAAAAGAATGGGAGAGAAGGCAATGTTAAGCGTGATGATCTATATCTGACGTTTAAATTCTGTAACTCGGAAACTACAAAAAAATAACTATAAAAATTTAAAAAGGGGGATGGGGGTATTTATTCAAATATTCCATACAAGTTTCATGAAATTGTATATATATTTTGTTTCATGTGTACAACATATGAACGGACGGACAGACGTTTACTAGTGCAAGTCATGTCTATGAGGTACGCATTAAAGGTAATGATATGGTAATAAGGAATCCACGATTTTCATCATTATTACGAGAGGGAACTATGATTGGTCATTTCTAACTGTAGAATTGAAATTGCCAAAGAACCATCTACATTAACTTACTTTATCGAAACACGTGGTAGTTTTCAATTATACAGTCAAATAATAAAATGTCATATGATTGGAGTTGAGGAGTATCCCTCAACGAGACAGCATTATGACTCTGTCACAAAAACGGAGATGAACATTTAGAGGTCAACATATAATTCCTCTACAATAGGCAACGAGTGTACATTGGTTGAAATCTAAGTTTTGACTTGCGTAAAGGCATATGGTCATCCCTTGGACTTTTCTGGCTAACGTGGGGCGTCCGTTTGGTTGTGCGGGATGTATAAATATGCAGCCACGTCCGGTCAGAATTTCAATGAGAATCAAATATTAAATTTGCTTTATTATTGATATATGTAACAAGTGGTGTTTTGTCTATTGTTATTTTAGCATTACAGTTGGGGCGAATGAGTAGATTAAACTCATTTTCATAATCGAGACGAGTTGGCACGCCGTTATTCATCGGGATTAAAGTCCTTTTCATAAGTGGGGCGAGTTGGCAGACCTTTACTTTATTTATCTGTATCAAACTTCTTTTCATAAGTGGGGCGAGTTGGTAGGCTGAATTCATCGGGAGGGAGTTTACTCTTTTGAATAGGTTTGGTGAGTTGGCAGGCCTAAATTTATCGGAATATGACTTCTTTTCGTTATTGGGGCGAGTTGGCAGGCCTAAATTTAGCTGGAACATACTACTTTTTTTCAATAGTGGTATGAGTTGGTGGAAAGTGGGTCGAGTTGGTCTGGGGCAATTGGGGCGAGATGTTTTGCTTCCATGGGGACGTTAAATCCGATGCCTCGTTTAGTGAGAGTGCCACGCCATCTGTACGTTAATAAACCATTATAAAAAAAAATATCTGATGAATCAGTAGGTGGCCTGTTGCAAGGCAAAAATTTCTACCCTATCCATCATATTATCATTTTCAAGCAATGGTCTAAATATCCCGCCCTTCATCCGGTCGACCCCCTAACCTGCAGAACTTATACATATGTATTGTATTAATTGTTTATTTCTTCTTGTTCTAATCATGCATGAAATATTTGCCACTGGATGTAAAATAAAACACTATCCAATTGATCAATCCATGGGTCTTTGCCTCATTGAAGATGCTTCAAATCTTTTTATCTTTATAAATATATATATAAGCCAGGCTCTATCGTCAGTTGTCTAGAAAAACAAGTATATTCTGACAATCAACAAATTAGTGTACTCAAGCTATATCAGAATATATGAGATGTTAAGTATACATAACAACTAACATTTTAATTCAAATTTGTGAGAAATATGGGTTTTTCGAAAAATTCCAACAAAAAACATTTCCATGTGTTTCAAATATTTATTGTAAATATACACACTGTACTTGTTCATAAAATTCGTAAAAAATAAATAGATAAAATAAACTCGTACATCGAATCACAGCACTCCAAATTTTACTCCCCTCGCCCTAGTAGGGAACACAAAAGGCTAATCTAATGCCAGAAAAATGAATTACTAAATTATAACCAGGAGCTTGCTCTAAGCTTACCTCAAGGATGTACAAAATCTTATTATGTAACGAAAGGTTTCAATTACATTGTTTAATTGTTTAATGGCATAAATTCAATTACCAACGGCACGACTATATCGATTTAAATCCCACTATTGTCATAAAAATTATCAAAAAAACTATGCAACAAATAAAAATCAAATTTGTCAAATCATGCATGTTGTAAAATATTTCACATTCTAATCAGTCAATAGTATAAATAATCATCAATTGATTGTAAATAATCTCAATGAAAATTGCCAAGGAAACTAATTCAAAGTTTTTGATGAGGTAAGGAACATCAATCTTCAAACCTGCATATACAATAAACCAAACGAGTTTTGCAAAACTGAGAATCAATCCAAATATATAAATAGACCTTAATTTCACATATTCAAAGTACTATTCATATTCACAATAATGTGTACTGCAAGTGGATTAGACACACTTTAAAAAATACAGGGTTTTACACCTTATGTGACTTCACTTTACGTACATTGTTTTAAGTAAAAATCCATTTTTAATTGTTCAGGAATTTTATTCGAACATGGGCACCTCATCTGGAATATGTGTTCCACTTCGTACACCTCGAGGAAGTTCAACTAGCAATACTCTCTGTTTATATGCTTTTATATCATTAATATTCTGTGTGATCTCTTTAAGTTGATTTTGAATCTGTCCAACATCAGCTGTCACTACCTCAACTTGTTCTTGTAAGCTAAGCTCTGCATCATGTTTATAACGGTCTTCCAAGCTGTAAAATAAGAATAGTGGTAAACTATGGCTGCATTTGTTGCAGTCACGCTACTTTCATTTTCCAGTTTCGGATTAATTACCAGTAATGAAATAAATGAAAAGTTTTGATATTGGTTTGTTATACTGTCTAAACCACACGAGGAGGTTTGATAAGTTTAGTAAAACGGTTTTGTTTTTTAAGAAACAAAGGTAAAAACCAGGAAACGATTTGGCAAAACAAATAGAAGATTTATCAAACCAACCATAAACTGAAATCAGTAACCGAAAAGGACCAAAAGTATAGCCAAACCCAAAAAAGTACCAGAGCTATGCATGAGAAAGATGCTTTTCTTTATTATCAATGATTTTAAGTTTGATAATAGCAAATGTTAATCAAACAACATCCGTATTGTAATGCAAGTGCCGGTGTACTCATCTGGTGTACCTCGGTGAGTTATATTTCACCAGTAGATGTATATGGAGAGCCTTGTGATCTTGTAAGACTGATCAAACTCCCTTAAACTGTGTGGGCTTTACGCTATCATGAACATGTGTTGTTCTTTGTTGTTTTTTCTTTGGTGTTAGTCTGCTCTTTCTGAGGGGTCAGGTGTTAAACGTGTAACTACAATCCCGTCCTCTTTTCCTGGAATATGACCTCCCGAATTAGACTGCTTTATACATACATCAGCAACACGAATTTTGCAACATGTAGAGTACCCAAGATCACCCCGGTTTATAGCGGACTTAGTGTTGATCAGTCTTTAGTTTTCTATGTTTTGTTTTGTATACTGCTATCTGTCTTTTCGTCTTTGTCGTTTTTTGACATGGCATTATCAGTTTATTTTTCGACTTATGAGTTTGAATGTCCATTTGGTATCTTTTACCTCTGTTTTGGAGATGATAATGATAAAAGAAACAAATAAGTAAATAACACGTGGTACGATAAATACAATCGCATACCTTCCATCATCACTCGATATAGTCTTAGCGCGAGATCTACGTAATCGAATTGACGAATTTGAATAGCTTTTAACCGCATCTTTTTCCAGTAAATCCAGTCTTTTCTTTTCTTTACCTTTACTCTCTATTCCTTCAAAAGAAAACAATTGCTTTAGAACAATCTTGCATACTTTTATACACAGAAACTGTTCTATTTATTATGTTTATCTGTCAATTGTTTTTATTGTGTTTTAACGGTGCAGTGATATGTGTTTTTATCAATGATAAGTCATAATATGTACTTGCATAAAAAGTAGAGAGGCGAAAGATACAAAAGGGATATTCAAACTCATAAGTCGCAAACAAACTGATAATGGCATGGCGAAAAATGAAAAACTACCAAAGGACGACAAACAGTATACAAAATACAACATACCAAATCTTTAGACTGAGCAACACGAACCCCACCAAAAGCCGGAGGTGATATCAGGTGTCATGGAAGGGTAAGCATATCCAGTTCCACCAGTAGCACCCGTCGTGCTGCGCACGTAAGAACAAATACGGTGATAATTCTAATTCGAGGAAAAGAGGACGGGTTTATGATCCGTCATCATCTGTGAAACAGATATTCTATAGCGTTCAACTAACGTGATGTGACCATCATGTCGTCCGTAAAATTTTCGAAGGGCTGATTTCAAATTGCCACTTGGAACTCGTGATTTAATAGCTTTCTTGTTACCTATTAAGGTTTAGATATTTTTTTTCAATAAGTTAGAGTATATCGTAAGGAAGTGGATTCTTTCTTAATTTTTTCGCTGACCCATATATTTTGGAATAATGATGCGGACAAGCATTATACTTTGGATTCATTTACTTTCGTGGATTGAAGAAAAATTGCATTTTCGCGATATTGATTTTGTGGTTTTGGCAAAGTCTGCATTCAAGCCTATGGAAAATGTGTACTTCGTTGAACATTTAAATTCGTGCTTTACCTATACCAACGAAGTACAACTACATTTGCATTCCATGTGTTACCGCGTAAATTGTTGAGAAAGATTATTGGCATGTGCATATGGTATGACATACAAGACTTCATTGATGCCCTAGATACAAATCTAATTTCTACAAAATTTTATTTGTTTTCAATGTTCCACGATTTTTATATTTCTGATGTAGACTAAAAGTTATGAAATCAAAAAAGATGGACGGAGAAAGGATGAAAATATAGCAGCCTATGGAGAACAAATTTTCAAAGTCATATAAAAAACATTTGCTCACACATGAACAAAAATGAATCCACAGTTGGTCCTTTGAAAAACGAGAAAACGAGAAAACAAAACAATATTTACTTTATTATGTTAATATACGCAAAATACAGTCAAAAATATATACATACTGAAAACATTTACTTGATTTGTTTTACTGTTACAACATTTGTACAAGATATAAAAGAAAGCCCTCTTTATGTGGTTTAAGATTATTAGTGGTGGCACCAACAGACATCTGTCATAATACTCTTGGACAAGGGAAAATCTGTGAAATTTCCAAACAAGCTCATTGTTCTCTTGAAACTTATTAAATGTGTGCCTGTCAAAATAGTAATAAACAAATGAAGATTGGTTTAGAAAAGCATATTATTTTTGGTGAAATTGTTAAAATGTTGACAATATTGAATTAAGAGTACTTAAGGCCGTTGAGGAAAATATATATTCAGTTTTCACTAATTCATGAACAAATGGCTTTTGTTACAAAATATAAACTCGGTTTTTAACGATGCATGTATTGAATCATGAAAAATTGACAAAAAGAAAAAAGAAATCTTCATAAGAGGTCTGCTTCCCTTCCACAGCACCTGAGATCCCTTAGTTGTTGATTAAGTTTGTGTTACTTAGTCTTCAGTGTCCGATGTAGTGTTTTGTAAACTATAGTTGTTGGTGCTGTTGGTTTTTCTTTTTGGTATTTTTTTCGCATTTTGCAAAGTCATAGTCAGTTTGTCTTCTACCTTTGAGTGTGTGCCTCTCTCTTGTAACTTTTGCAATCATACAATATTTAATTTGTCTAGCCTTATTAAATGCGTTTGTGTACGCATTGTTTCGTGTTTCTTCTGTTTATATATAAGGCGCACTTTCTTTTTCTTTTTTTTCTTTTTTTTTTTTTTATTTTTAATCAAATACTTACGAAAACATTGCTATGAGAAAATTGATGAGAATAGTTTGCATCAATACCATATAGATAGCTAATAGCACCAGATTTATCTCACTGACTTCTGGGCCACTTACAACAGTTCCTGCTATTTCCTCTGTTTTCTCCCCTTTTAATCAGAACATTAGAATTGAATTTGAATATCCATTATATTTGACATTTGCAAAACACATCAATAATTGAAATAATGACTTATTAAGGTCTGTAAGAACTACTCTAAATACTTTTTGTTTAAATTTGGATTTTGTTATTCGATTGATTTAACAAAGGTGAAGGAAAACATTGATCTTAAGCATTTTGTACAATCATCTCCTGATTGCAACTGTGCAATTGGAGAACATTATCTTGTCGGTAATTTGACAAGCATTATATGAATATTACTGTATTTTACCCCGGTTTATAAGTTACTCTTTTATTTTTCATATCTTTCAAGGCATTTGGTGCACCAATGTATGCATTGCTAATTCATACATGCAATCGCTGACAATTTTCATCTGCTTGAGTAAGATATGTGCATATGAGTGCATTGTGGAATAACAAAGATGATTTGATCTTGAATCGACTATTGCTACGCATGTCACTTAAGTTCACTCGAACCGGATAAATGGTAATCAATGGTAGCGGGGGATCTACGACCATGGCAGTAGAGTGTTGCGAACGAATAGAAACACTGAGACTCCGTAATAATCTATCAATTCATGCGGACGGCCAAAGAACTTATGAATGGATTATATTAATCTTGTTTTTGCATAACCTTGTTTGAAAAGTGTTTCTTTTTTTACTAAAAATATACCTCTGTTGATTTAGTCAGAACAATCTCGGTTATATCTTTTCAAATAAGAGACGCAAAAGTTATTGACTGGGAAAGACCGTATGTTAATATTAACGAAGTGAAGGTGATGATATGAAAACGGAAATCACCGCGTTGGTTGAAGATCCTAGTTTCCAGTTGTTCGTCAGCATTGATTTCATGGTTAAAGTAATAGACATAAAGTAACCAGTCTTGTACCACTGGTATCCATGATAACACATTCACAGGAAGGATATATACAAGTACTAACTTAAAAAAGCATAAATGAGTAACTTGTATCATCAACATGTCTGAAATTCAGATTTAAGAATACTGTTCAATGCTTTTCTTTTCGTCTATATGAAATTTTCAATAAAACCATTTATCACAAAAATCTTACTTGGACTTCTTTTTATTCTGAATTTATTTCAAATGAATAATACATGTTAATGATAAACTTATACAGCTGTTACAAACAATCAGTTGAATAAGCAAATACTAAAACACAATGACAATGACACAGAAATAAGTTGCTACAACTCTATAAATCTGTGTCTAATTATCATTTAAAACATTTTTAAGAACACTTTGAAAATCTAAATAAAGGGATCGTTCTGAACAGGCATGATATATTTACCAACAGTCAATCAATTGAATAAAAGAAACTAATGATTTACCTTGGTTTGTGTGGAGGGGAATATGATTGATTGATTGTTGGTGTTAGCGCCACTTTTAACACTCTTAGCTCTATCATGACGGCCGCCTTTTTTATTGATTAGTGCCTGAACTTTGCAAATAGTAGCTGTGAATTCACGATGCACCGAATCGTCCAATAATTGGCCGTCATTTCCAGCTCTTAACAAACAGAAGGTAATCGATGAAATTAGATAATGTTCCTCAAATAAACTGTCAATCTGTTTTAACATGTTTTTGTTTTAGTTTATTTTCCCAGAAGAATACATATTATCTGTTTTATGTAATACAGATAATAGTGGTGATAAAAAAAGTCACAAGTTTATTTTTTAGCATATTATTATGATAAGTATTTTGAAATATAATTTTAGTTTAAATCCAATTTAGAAGCTTAA